TTCTCACTATAGTTTGTTGAAGTTTCATTTCAACGGGACATATTCGGCATTTAATTTGATGCAATGTTAGGATCAAATACAGATTTCGGTGAATGGTCGAATAATAGGCTAAAACGCGTTTTGCCCACCAACATATTGCCAGTATCCGAAATATCGCATTCCGGCTGTTTAATATAGCCCGGAACGCGTTCTGGATCCTTTAACAAAATTCGCAAGTAAAAAGGAAATTTCCGCTCAGACGGGCGATACTATGATGGCGACTACATGCTTTCTATTTTTCTCCATCTTAGATTTAAAATCTATAAATCTGTGCTTACGTATAACAAAAAAAATATAGTTTTCAATAAGCTATAAACTTAATCAGGTCGATCTTCGAGGAGCTGCAAGAGACAAATATAAATGCCAAAACCGGTTCAAATCAACATAAAAATCAATCTGACTATACGCTTGAAAACTCTCCACAAATATATTTGAAAGACACTCGCCTATCTACGAGGAAAATCACCGTCTTAGTTGATACCCATGATCGATTGCCCAAAGATATTTCACCGCACGAAGAATTAGTGAATGCCAATCAGAATCGTTCTCGAGATATTAAAACAATACTGACCACACTGGATGACCAACGTAGTATTAAAGGATTCCAGTACAACCATGACTCTTTCAATCGCAAACGAAATGTTCTTATAGTTGCTGATAGCCAGGGTAGAAACACTGCCATCAAATTTCAGAACTCGCTACCGCCTGAACAATTCTCTGTCTGTATTTTGTATGTTTAAACCAAATAACCAAAATAACCTGATTTACCCTGTTATTAATGATAGCTCAGCATAGCAACCAAAGCATATCCTAAGAATTTTGCATCAAAATTTACAGAGCATGAAAAATAAGATTTCTGAATTTGAAACGTTACTGTCATTAGAGGATATTGATATTGCATGTGTTTCAGAGCATTGGTATAGCGAAGTTGCTAGCTGTTGCATTACACTTTCAGGTTATTCTTTAGGTAGCATTTTTTGTAGATCGCAGAAAAGGAATGGCGGAGTAGCTATATTTTATAAAAATGGCGTAAAATTAAAAGTTACAGAAATATCAAATATTAAACAATATGCTAAAGAGCAATTATTCGAAGTTTGCGGTATAAATGTATCATCCTACTGTAATGACTTTTCGGTGAAGATACTATGCTTGTATAGATCACCTTCTTCAAATACAGAAGACTTTTTCCGACATCTAAATCTAATGTTAAACAAAATGAAGGTATCTAAAAAATCTAAACTCATTTTGGGAGGAGACGTATAGATTATATCTGTTCGAATATAGCAAATACTCTATTACAATGTAAGATAGACTTAAACGGGCTTTCGGATCATTCTGCACAAATTTTGGAAGTAACAGTTCCCTCTGAAGTTAATCTGGTTCCAGACTTGCGATATGTTAGATCATTTAGTGATAAAAATTGCAAAAATTTTATACGTTATATAAATAATGAGACTTGGAATAATGTGTATGAAACTAATGACACAAACGTAGCTTTTGAATTATTTACTGATATACTGAATTATTATATCGAAATGTCATTTCCATTGAAAAAAATTATGTCACAAAGTTGTAAAGGAAAACCTTTGATAACAACTGGCATTAGAATTTCAGCAAGAACACTTAAGCGTTTATACACTAATGCCACTAACACAAATTCTGATCTTGATAAATTACACTACCAACGCTACAAAAAGGTGTATAAATCTGTTATAAGGACCGCCAAAAAATTTCACTATGACAAAATGTACAGAAATGCTAAAAACAAATCAAAAATTGCGTGGAATATTATAAATGAAAATATTAAAAACGATAAAGTCTCATCCCGTAAGGTAGAAAAACTCGAAACTATTTCTGGTTTAATAACTAATCCTTCAGAAATTGCTTCAACCTTTAATAATTATTACACAAACTTACCGCGCCAAATGGGAGCAGGATTTTCAAATACTAGTCTGCAGTCAAACTTTTCAACAATGTTTTTAGAACCTGTTACCGAAAATGAAGTATTTAACATTATAATGGATCTAAAAAATACGAAATCTACAGGAATAGATAATATTAACTCGTATATATTGAAGAAGTGTATATACCACATATTAGGCATTCTTACCCACTTAATCAACAAATCTTTAGCAGATGGTGTTTTCCCAAGCGTTTTCAAGGTAGCTAAAGTTGTACCGATTCATAAAAAAGGAGATAAGAAGCTGGTGGAAAATTACCGACCTGTGTCTTTATTATCCACAGTTTCTAAGGTGTTGGAAAAAATAGTTGCAAAAAAAAATGATCAATTTTTCGAACAAGTATAGAACCATAAGAAACGTTCAATATGGTTTTTTAAAAGGGAAATCTACCTCCTCAGCAATATACAGGTTTTTAAATACATTATATAACAATTTGGATAAGGGAAAGAAATGTATGGGAATGTTTTTCGACTTTAGCAAAGCTTTTGACTTGGTGGATCATACCATACTACTACAGAAATTACAATATTACGGTTTTCGCTGAATTATACACAAGTGGTTAAGTTCGTATCTCTGTAATAGGAACCAAATTGTACAAGTTAATAACGTAAGGTCCTTACAATCGGAACTTATAGCTGGAGTACCACAGGGTTCTGTTCTGGGTCCCTTACTATTCATATACTATATAAACGATCTACCTGGTGCAATTACATCCAAGAGTGGTGATAATATTGTTATGTTTGCGGATGACACTAGTTATCTTTTTTCTGGGGATAGTGTGAGGTAGTCGAGAACGCACAGTCTTCAGTAAATAGTGTCGTTCAATGGATCAATAGTAATAAGTTAGTTCTCAATGCTAGTAAATCATTAATTATAAATTTCAATCTGCGTGAGATCATAAGGAAGGAATCTCTGTTAGTTAAAACAAGCAGGAAATCAATTCCTCAAGAGAAATGTACCAAATTCTTAGGCATCTATCTTGATAGTAATTTGAAATGGAATACCCATATAGACAGTTTATCCAAAAGTTTAGCGTCAAGTGCCTATGCAATATTTAAATTAAAATCTTTTAGTAGTGACAAAGTGCTGTTAAGTTTTTACTATGCGCATTTCTACAGCAAAGTTAAATATGGTATTCTATTTTGGGGGAGATCTAACTTAACTCATAGGATTTTCCTAATTCAAAAGCAAGTAGTGAGATCTATAGTGGGAGTAAAGAAGAGAACATCATGCAGAAATATATTTAGACAACTTGGACTATTAACTGTTCCTGCTATATATATTCTAGAAATTCTGATGTTTGTAAAAGAAAATCCAAAGGAGTTTTCTGTTAATAACTATAATCACAGTTACAATACACGGCGTGGTAAGGATTTCTGCATTCCTGCGCATAGACTAAGTATGTCAGAAAATAATCCGAGATATATGGGCTCATTACTTTTTAACAAACTCCCAGAACGTCTGAAGTCTGAAACCCGACATAAACAATTTAAGTTTCAGGTAATGCATTTTTTATTGTCCCAGTGTTACTATTCAGTGGAAGAGTATTTGTCAGATTCGTGTACTTAATTACATTTGGTATCGTTAGTAATACAATTATGCATGTTATATTTTATTTAAATTATTTAGTGATATTTTACACAACCTCTGTCATTGACTTGATCAATATCATGTTACATGGTCTAATGGTCTAATAAACATTATTATTATTATGGTCGGTGTTTCTTGTGAGAACTCAGGTCTAGCCTGGTTAACTAATCGCACGGATTAAAATCAAGTAACGATTAGTGTCTGTGTCTGTGTCTGGTGAAGTTATGTAGGGTCCTTAAAAAAAAAAAACAAATAAAATAAAAAAAAAATCACACACGTACATTGGACATCTAGGGATACTATGTAATTCGTACTTACCAACATACCTATTGATGGGCACAATAGCCAACGCTATCAGGAAAGAGGAAAACAAAACAAAAAAAAATCATTATAATAATTCCTGTAATTTTATTAAATGGAGTTTATTGTGTAAATGTTTCTTTGGCTTTGCGTTTGGGTTGAATACGAGTGGGTTGTGATAACGTGGTGTGTTTCTGTGAAGAAGGAGTTTTGTGTTTTTTAATTGTATTTATGGTGTTTATTATTTCAAATATAATGGTCGTGTTTCTTGGAGAACTACAGGTCTAGCCTGTTTAACTAATCGCACGCGAATAAAATCATAGTACGATTTAGTTCTTTATATTTATCTTATTTTTTTATTTTTTAATTTATTATAGTTATGGTCGGTGTTTCTTGTGAGAACTCAGGTCTAGCCTGGTTAACTAATCGCACGGATTAAAATCAAGTAACGATTAGTGTCTGTGTCTGTGTCTGGTGAAATAGTTATTATTATTATTATTATTATTATTTACGATATTTTATTCCGATTTGGTTAAATTATCCCTATGCCCATCAAAATGAAATAAAATTTAGATGTGTTCAGTCATGATTGACAAGCTTGAATAGCTGCAATACGTAGCTATTAAGCTGGCATTGGGATACATGGGTAGTACACCAACTAACGTCCTTCATGCTAAGTTGGGCAAAATCAACCTTACAAAATCACCTTTTAAAATTAAAATTATGAATAGCCCCAACTGTGAGCGTGGCTACATGGAAGAGGTTTATGAATAACAAGAATTTGTTAAAATCACCTTCCCTCTCCACATAAATTCATTTATAGGCAAATCAAACGTTTTAATAATGTTATTCATTCTGAAATTCATGATAAGCTATGATTTTAAAATTGACTTCAAAATCTAATTCAATTGTTTTTTTCGACTATTTTGTTGTAATAATTATAGCAATTAGGCTGGATGCTTTAATAAAAAAAAGTCCAGAAAATTAATTCCTGTGCAGAGTGCATCGCACGGTAAAACCTTTGATATAAAATATTTTATATTCAATGGTAAAACGGAACCGTTTATTTTTTATAGGACCTTATATTGAATGCGCTATGTTTATTACCTGATTTTATATTTATGTAATACTCCGGTGGTGCTCCAGGGGAAGTTCCATCTGTGGAGTAGCCCGTAGAATAAGCTGACTCCGGAGAAGATAAATTGGCTCCCGAATAACGTGCGACTTTGTCCGTTGTACTGAGAATCGACTTTTGTGTCATGTCATCCTGTGAACAGAATACACTGAATAAAACATTATTCCTTTAAACGAACCCCTACTAAACATTGTCACGAATTCAGCTATTCTTTTTTATCGTCGTCCCAAAATGAAATAACTCGATTCCCTACAGTCCGTTGCTAAATTCTATAATTTTTCTGGCACGTGATGATTTTAGAGGAAACGTTATTGTTGTTACTTACCCAGTTGTGTTCCGATGAACGAGTGCTTTGCAGGGATTCTGAGTTGGTGAATGTGACACCGCTATTTTCACTACTCAAATTAGATTTTAATTGCTTCTCTTTGCGTTGCTGTTTCTTCTTAGGCCGTACAGCTTCCATCCATGACCTTAACTTGATTCCCAACATCATGCTTGAAAAAAATCAATTTATTACCTATTTAAATTCGTATGCATGTTCCACTTTTTGAGATGCCTGCGAGACAGTTTAAAAGCTAAGCAGGAGTGGATTTTAAAATTGCGTGCTTATGTCTTTACAATTCAAATACTTAGGGTAAGGTTGAGCGTATCAGAAACTCATGAAATTTCATTTCACGAAATTGGGGCGGGGGAAATTTCTACTTTCGTACTTCGTTTGAGTATAGTCGTTGAGTGTTCTCACTCAACGGTATGGTGGAGACCTTTGAAAATATACTTAGGGCACCTTGTGTAAACTAAATCTAGAGTCAGCGTTGACATGTAAATGAGAAACGGTAATTCCATCACGGCCCAAATTGCACAATTGCCTCATGAAAACTAATCTAAGTTTTGTTTGTAAATAAACCGTTTCATTCTGGTAATAATAATATATGCAATAACGTCATTCGCATATGGCATTGATAAACGTTCATATGCATTAGCAACATCGTTCCCGATGTATGTTTTCCAATTTTCCTGAGTCTCGGTAACTTGTTTCCCGGCTCCAAGTTGCGCTCCGTACCCCAGGCCAAAAATACCACCTGTTCTTGAGACACAAATGCTATCATTTTTCAAGATAAAGCAGGAGAATTCAGAAGTAGGTAGAAGAGAGTTAAAGTTAACGAAATAAGAGTGATGGCTGTAGTTACCGAGTACAGTTGAAGGATTGCAGGAAGATTTACACTGGTACCTCTGAAGGATTTTCAATGTGGATACTCCCGCCACCACAATCGAAATTAAGAAAAGTTGCCCTTGGAATAAGGATTGTGTATTTAATTGCAGTTCCAATTCGTCTCCGGGGTAAAGTCGTCCCCAGAATTTTCGCTCTCAAAGACAAATTTGTTCTAACTGTAGCTCTCACGCCACTCATGGAAACAAATTCAAATCACCCTCAAATCGTCCTCGCTGGCCATCTGTTTGTAGAAAACCCATGACGATATCACATTCCTTTCCCTAGTTATTAAGGGTGGATCGTTTTCGATTCACAATCCTGTATTCTGAATGATTCAGAAATTTGATTCCGTTCTGATATGTTTGTTACATTCGTTCTGGTGAATTGGTTTTTTTTAAATTCTCCCCTATGCAGAAAAACTTGATCCCCCACAGAAGTGCCTTTAATAAAACTTCCACGGAATACTCACTGTTGAAAAAACAGTTTGGGGAACATTTGCACCGAAATATTTCCCCAGAATACCCTCTCACAAAATCGTCGAAGGTTCGCTCCGGGCAGATTTAACCCGGAAATAATTGGCACAGGAGTTTTGCCTTCGCGATGAATTTGGTTCCAATCGAACTTGTCCTAAAACTTAGGAAAAGCTGGACTAAATGTCACAAAATTTGTGAAAATTTTCTTTCAAAAAAATTCTGTCCCAAGTAACATCGCCTTCGCAATATTCGTTCTGTCCCCATACAAAACTTGTCTCCGAACAAATGAATTTTACGGGGTCCGTAATCCGGCAGAGGCGAATATGCCTTGGAAGAATTTCCGGCGGCAACCCAACTGGGAATAAACCTTCCAAAAGGAAATATTCCGAGGACGCGTATAGTTTTCTTGAGTGAAAATTTACCGCTTATCGAAGTCAGTGGGAGAAAAAGAAAGAAAAACAGATTCTTTCTGTAGTGAGCCTGAAATTTTAACCCGATTCGAAGGTTGTGCAAATTTTAACCCTGCGCGGTATACGAAGAGCTAGAAAACTATTAATTGAATCTTTGATGTTTTTTATGTCAAGAACAAGAAACCAACTCTTGGAATAAGTTGTGTTCAAACACATTTGCAATTTTGAAGTGGAGCCGGATAATTGTTTCCAAGACAACAATGCAAACGTCTCTATAATTACATTTGTTAGTGAGTTTGCACTGGCATTTCTTTCCGTACAATTTGCAGAATATTCAAATCGCAGAACCGGGATAATTTATACGTTATCCGGTGGTGTTCTAAATCCTTCACTTTTATGGAAAATGTTTGGAATTTATTGTTATTATTGCCGATATCCCGAAAGGTTTTTCACTCTTCCTAAATATGTTGATATGGGGCAGAATCGTGCCTACAAATTGATGTATAGTAGGAATTGATATATGTGAACCCTCGTGGTCTAACTATATGGATGCAATATGCGAAAGATCTACTGTTTACCATAAAAATCCACGCATAAGAAGTCACATGGGGATAAGTACATAATCTGCTTTGATATAACGATAATCAATTTCAAACGTTACATGTTATATTTGAACTATTTGTCAATACGAGATGAAAAGGCACGTTTCCCGTTTAGGAATACGGGATAGAGATATATCCCTTCGTCGTAAAGGTGCAGAATTTAGTGCATTATCCTGTTCAAAGATTTATCTCAACATAAAAATCTCAGTGAGGTTGGAATCACTAGGAACATCAAGTCTAACTAATGAGAAGTGATGGGGATGTTTATTCTGAAAATTTCAAATCACCCCGCTTACTATTTCATGCGAATGAAGGGAGTAATAAGGAAATTAAATGTATTTGTAAATGGGCTGTAAAATTACCATAAAACTTACCCTGCACTTTTGGATTGCAGAAGGTACAGAGGTAATTATGTGCAGCGCACTTTCAACAAATAACAAAACGACTAATTGGTAAATATAAACATATCTAAATCCACAAAATTTAAACAAATAAATCCATTTCTAATGACGCGCGAGTGGTATCTGGGATAGCGTCGAGGGAATCGACGCCACCGACGCCGTTTCGGAAAAAATCGTCGTTTGCGGTCTATCCCGTTATGAAGGCGCACGCGTGCCAATTTCTAATCCCGCATATGCATACAAAGGGTGAAAACGCAGGCAGATGATAGAAGGGGGTGCAATTAGAGCGGTTAGTTTTGAATAATTCTTGTGATGACAAGGGACGCGTAGAATGATGTTTTATTAATTTAAAAAACCATCGTTTGTGCTGCAATAAATTTTGAGGGCTTTGTCTCTATATTTATTCAAATTTATATTTTTATTTTCAGTAAGACCTAAATTTCCAACTTAGATTTAAAAACAGCGGTTGCATGATTGCTTTAAACAAAACAGTTCGATAAGGATTTAAACTGAAGATTTATAAACGTTTTCTATGGTGCGTTAATTAAAATCATTTAAATGCTCAAGAGGATTAGTTCAAAGAACAATTACAAAACGAGCAATTCCAACGAAGTTGGTGAATTGGCGATTTTACGCGACTTGCAGTGAAAAGTATTGATACCTTCATAACGTTTACCTGAAAAATGACCAACTTTTTCGAAAAACGGCAAAAATTCAGTCGGACACAGCCATAACCTTGTCTTTTTAGCGTATTTTCCTCAAAGTGAAAAATCGCTATTGGCTGCACTTTGTCGTCCGTCCGTCCGTGCGTCACACGTACTCCTACACCACTGAACCGATTTGGGGGATACAGGGCTCATTTGAAAGGGCTTGGTCCACGGATTCCGTGCATACCGATATTTTTGGTTTTTGCGCATGCGCAGTGTCAAAAATTTGGATTAACGCATGTGCAATGCTAACTTTTTTATTTATGAAGATATTTAAATGAAACTTTATATGTAAACACTACGAATACGAGTATAAGTAAAATTAACGACATTTTCAAAATGTTTTGCTCATGCGCAATGGCAACTTTCTTACTTACGAAAGCAGTTAAACGAAATATCATAAATGTAGGTACCTTGAATGAAAAAATGAAAATGAAAAATGAAACTAATACCGGTTTCAAAATTACTTTACGCATGCTGTATGTTTTATTTATGCAGGTATTCTATGAAATTTCTAATTTAGAAAATGATCAATGCTATTTACGAAACCATTTAAAAGAAGTTTCATATGTAGACACTTCGAATAAAAGTAAAACTTTAAAGGTTTACCATTTTAAGGTTCTGAGTGTGGGCAGGATCCAACGGGCGCCTAACATAATGATTCGGGGACCGTAAATAACAAGTTGCGCTCCATAGCTGTCAGATCGACGGCAAACCTTCTACACAGTTTTGGTATTATCGTACCACACAACCTATTGTTTATTATTCTTTGGAAAAGCTTCCCCACCGAGTTCAAGAGGCATATTGGTCGATAGGACTGGTTCCCTTTCGGTATTAACACCAACATATACCGCTTCGAGTCTTCGGGATAACGACCGTTGGTAATAATGTTGATAAGCAACTTCGCCAACATTTCGGGTTTCCCCGACGCCAGACCCTTCACGACTACCCCCCAGCACCCCGTCCGGGCCAGGAGCTTTGTTAGCTGCTATATGTTTCACCGATTCGACTATCTCTGGGTCACACAACCCCGGCATCATTGTTTTCCTGAAGATCCCAGATCGGGAGCTCTTCGTGTCTCGGAGAGGTCTTGGAGGCGTTATTTTGTCCCGCCCACATTTATCTCCGTTTTTTTATCTTTTTAGTAACGATCCTGTAACCCCTCCCCCAGATATCGTTATCAACCTCTTCACACAGTCGCCTCCACGAGCGTTTCTTCCTTTTCTTTATCATGTTTTCCTCGCTCTCTCTTGTATGATTCCTTCTCATTTATCGCATTACTCGCCTTCCTCTGTGCCATTCTTCTCAAGCGAATGTATATTTTCCTGTTCCGCTATGTCTTCTGTCTACCAGTAAACCCTTCATCGTCTAGCTTCGGCTGGATTTCGTGCAACCTTTCAGTGTCCATTCTGTGCGCTGCGGATTTCTTCCAGAGGTTCCCGACCACGTAAGTGTGGTCGCTTAATGTTTCCTGTTGCAGGACTTCCCACCCAGGTCTACCCCGGAACTCAACCGAAACGAAGCTCTCCCCTCGTGAACGTGGGCTTACTGTGCTTGTGTATGGGGACCAATCCCAACGCTTCAGCCCAGTTCATAATCATCCACCCGTTCCGGTTGGTCACATTGCTCCCCCAACAACTGCACGGTGGCGCCCCCCTTCTGCACAGTCTTGATCAATCCCACAAACATCGCACCCAACCCAAACCCCATATTTGGCGAGAGATATACACTGTAAACTATATTGTCCCGCGTATCTATGTCCACATATCCATCTCTCTCTCCGCCTAACATCTTCCCCATCGGTTAAGACCACTTCCACCCTGCCTCGGTGCCTTTATGGACTCCCTTCTAACCTCCGACACTATTATGGTGTTCGGTCGGTATATCGAAATCGAATGGGTTATTTCAGAAAATGAGAAAAAATCTATTCGGGGAACGTGTTGGAAAATGCCGATAAAGGTTAGCAGCGAATTTTGAACGTAGTGATAGCGTTCACTTTTCCGTATCCTATTCAATCACGGTAAACTGAATAACATTCTTTGGCAATTTCAATTAACACGGTTTTGATGTGTCGTGCATGTATATAAGCGTGCATTGAACGTTCCCATTATCTAATGTTTCTGTCGTCAGGTTGCCAGTATGTTTTTTCTTCTAATGTTGGCAGTAGAAAAATATGAAAACAGAAATTCCTGACGTTTTCTTCCAACAATAATATTGTTATAAACAATGGCATGGTTACAAAATTTAGCAGGGAAAGCCGAAAATTTGCTTGTAAAGTTCGACGAAAATGCCGCAAACGTGTTTAATGAATCAAACCTCAAACACTTGGGGTTGGAGTAAGTAGTCTACCACTGGAGCGTCACATCAGTCCTACAATTGTAGATCTCCACATTTTGAATCATCCAAGAATGTGGATAGTACTGCCGAAGTCTCAATCACAATTGATAAGAATCCAAGTAATGTACAAAGTAGCACAAATGAATACGGGCTGTCACAATTAGGCGACATTGTTAAGGTTGTCAATGAGAAGACGTGCCCTTCGGATGGTGAAGATTCAGGAGTGTTACACAATAAACCAGAAACACCATCGCCTACATCTCACGTGATGTCCGCCGATACTTCTAGGAAAGAGCTGAAGAGTGAAGGCTCAGCAGTATCGTCTAAATCTGGATCGTTACAAAATAGGTTATCTAGCTGATCTTCCGCCCCTTATAGTTATAAATAGTTTACAGCTTTATATTTATGGACGACACGCTTATCAAATATGAGGATAAAATTGGCAAACTCGAACATGAGAACGAGGAATTAAATCAGCAGCTAATAAATATGCGGCATATGTATTGTGAATTGCAGAACGAAAATTCGAACTTGCAAAGTCAGCTTGAGAGAACTAGTGAAACATTACTCGCCACCCAATCGGAGATGGAACAGTATCGTGCTAGAGCTCAACGAATTTTGCAGGAGAAAGAAAAGCTCATAAGACTGAAACAAGATGATCCCGGTGAAACTAACGAACTGATTTTTAATAATTATAATGAGGAGTTAAGGTTAAGTTTTTTGAATACTTTATACGAATCTAACTGATTTTCTTTTAGAAAAGAGTTAAAATTTCAAGAAGAAAAGAATTTTGAACTAGCTGACAAATTATCAAAAGTTAACCACGAGTTGACTCTCCTGCAACAAAATTTTATTCTCACCCAAAAGGAAAGTCATACAGCAAAACAAGTCCTCCAAGATTCATTAATGCGCGAAAAGAAGATACGATCAGTCGCCGACGAGGAGTGTAGGGCGAAGTCAAAAGTAACTACACCTTATGGCGTCACCTTGTTAAATTTTTTTCCGTAGGAACTGCAGAGTAGGTTACAAGAAATTGGCCATCAAAATAGTATTATAGCCAGTAAATCGCAAAAGATACTTCAACTCGAAGCGCAGTTGAAACAAAAGTATAATCCGGGCATTGGTTCTGAGGTTGAAGAACGTATACAAAGCCTGACACAGACTTTAATGTCGAAACAAAGTAGTTTAGAAACTGTAATGTCCGAGCGAAATGCGCTGAGATTACAATTACAGAAATTAGAGGTGAAATAAATCGTTACATATATTACCATCTGACACATTTTGTTTCAGAATGAGTACCAAAGATCTCAATCTCAACGAACTGTAGTAAGAAGCAGTCACCTAACTGATGCAGACGAAGGTGCGTATTAAATTCTCATTTTCACCCCTTACTGTTACACCTTAATTCTTAGGTAAAACGCCAGTTCCTCAATTTTTCCAATTATCTCCCTTCGATATTGGAGTCACTAGGAAAGTAAAACGTGCATATTCAACCTTAGACGCAATTAGTATACGGGTAGGAGTCTTCTTAAGAAGATATCCAATAGCGCGTCTATTTGTATTTTGTTATATTGTAAGTAACATCTTCAGACAGTGTTGATAATCACTAACCTTTATCTTTATAGGTCATGTTACATATCTGGGTATTATTTATTCTGTTCACCTACATTCCTTCGACAACTCGTTAATTTTTCTAAGTTATGTTTCATGTATATTTTTATTGATATTTCATTTAAACAAATATAATATATATTCAGAGCAAAAATTTATTGCGACAAAGGTCTTGTCAAAGGCACCTACAATATGTCTAGAGTGGATTGATTACGGTCCATATTGATCTCTCAAATTAGTTTAGGACACAGGGGCGCCGGAACAAATTGTGATAGGGAGGGGCCCTTAAATTTGTGGAATAGAAAATGTTACTATGTTAACTATTTTTAAATTAGTAAAATAGGATACGCAGCTAAATCATATATCCAATAAAAACCATTTGTGTAATAGGTACATATTAGACACAAAACAAAACAAGAACAAAAGTAACAAGTTACAGTAGTTTACTGAAAAAAAAAATGAAATGCTGTTCTGCTTGGATAACACCCAGCCCCCCCACCACATTGTTTGGTATTTACTCTAGAGGTCATATTGAACCTAGTCATATTTTGTAAGTGTGATAAGTTAATGTTTATCACTGCCATGTCGCGGCCCAGCGCGATGGCAACAAAAGTAGTGGTGATTGGTGAAACGCCTACCAGGGACGCATCCCCACGACGTTGACTAAATCCTGGGAGAGGCGGCGACGACAGGCATATATCAAAGTTTCAATAGCACTATATGATAAAATTTGCTATGGTTATATTGATTACAATGTTGAATGTAGAGTAGGATAAAACAATTTAATTATTTCGAAAGACGACGTCCGCCTGCCCGTGTGTTCCTCGTCTAACTCGAGAACGAAAAGACACAGCGATGTCAAACCTTCGCCAATTCATTTCTACGAGTTCAAGGATCAGTGCTATCATTGAATAAAAACACTATAAGAAGCCTAACCCCGTGGAAATAAAGCGCGACAGAGATTGAACTGAGAATATAATGGAAACACTGTCAATAGTGTCGATTCTTGAACTGAGAAGAATGAGAATTTGCTTTCCTCCTATTTACCGCAAAGAGAGTTCGGTGATCACAACCAATGCGGGTGCAAGGGGATTTGTCGCGCTTTCTTCCATAAGCGTTAGGCTTCTTATAGTGTTTTTATTCAATGGTGCTATTGAATATGAGCTTCTGTAGAGGCACCTCTAAATAGCATTATGCGGATCACTGTGTAATTATTATGCGGGTCACTCTGTAATTGGGCGCATGCCTGTTGAGGGCCCAAAAACAAGAGAGGAATAATAATAAATAAATAAATGAGCCGGATTAAAAGCCTGGTTTACTCAATACGAGCTTAGTAACAAAAAATTCCCCTACTGAATCGTATGCGATTCTTCGTATATTCATCACTTTATGTGCATCTATTCCATAACAAGTTAAAATCGTGGTCACTCGCGATCGACCAAAGCGCATTTTCCCCGCACAGAATCAGTAATAACTCGGGAAGGAAGAGACTAATCCAAAAAGTCTTTTGTCGTTTTGGTCTCGAGGCTATGCTACACCGTATAAGAAAGAAACCACAACGAAAAAGCTTATAGTGGAGGACTAGTAATGGTATAAACGGACAAAGTGCGAACAATAACGTTCATTTTACTTTTGGAAAATGCGCCGAACCAAATATGTAAGTGTACCTAAGTGACAATGATGTTTTTCAAAAACAAACAGCCACCCTGCGGTCTTCGGCAACTTTATGGACATTGAGGTAACTCAATAAGGTTAAAAAGGTTTACCTACTTTTGCTTTATCACCGAACAGCGATGGGACAGAAAAAGGTGGCTATGTTCTGGTTTTATCGTGAACTTTCAACATTTTCTAAAATGGATTAAGCGATTTATCAAATCCCAGGGAGGGGCCCGGGCCCCCCTTGCCCTTTAGTAGCGGCGCCCATGGTAGAACAGATTCTGTAAACCTGTTCTATAGTCCCCAATGACTCAATAAGCTTGCACATGTTGAAGGTACCATGTTTTGACACGTCTGAATAGATAAATTAAGAGAAAACTTTTCTGAAAAGTTGTAGGCTGAAAACGTGTGGCAAAAGTGTAATACATTCTATTCTAGTGTAAGGGGAGCCCGATCAGACAACACCAAAGGCCGATTGAATCTATCCCCATTCTTTTCAAAATAGGTTCAGAGATCGTTCCTCTCATCACTTAAGGATAGAGCCCTGTTTAGCCTACGTGCTTGTTTCCACTGAACCTGAAATTGATTGGTCACCCAGTCTTTAATCATGGCCCTGACAATGGAGGGATCTTCGTAGGATAGGCTCAGGCCCGACGAAGACCCCACCACTGCCTCACAAGCCAGCTTGTCCGCCCTTTTGTTGCCACTTATTCTGCAGTTCGCCGGCATCCAGATCAAGCTTACCAATCAGGAACCAGTTTGCTGGCAGGGCCCTCAGCGCCGCTAAGTATATACAGAGTGATTCAAATTCGAGGGCCACCATGGGGATTTCGGGAACTGTAAGAGATAGGTAGGTAGTTTAAATTTGGCAAAGTTGCGTATTTTGATGCTTAACAAAATGAAGTTTTGAAACTGAAAAAATTCCGACTACTTTCGGAGATATCCGGAAAAAGCCGAAACTTTGCAAAATCGTTTTTATTTTTTACTGAAGTTATTCAACAAGATATTTCTAAATAAAAGATACATTATTATGGCCACTTTTGTCCCTCTACAAGATGCTACTTTTAAATTTAAAGTTTGACTTTGTTTTTTCTTATGGAAGTAATTTTTACTTTTTGTGTCATTTGATGGAGAATTTTTTTCTGATTTCAAAAATGTAAACATCACTATCTTTTAATCATAAATAGCGCTATTAATTTGTAAAACGCAAGAAACTACGTACGTACACTATCTAAGACAAAGTTTTCTAGGCAAAAAAGAAAATATTTTACTAATTAAAAAAAATTGTGATGTTTATATTTTTGAACTCTCTTTTGAAATCTCTATCAAATGACCCAAAAAGTAAATATTACTTCCATAAGAAAAAACAAAGTTGATGATGATCAACCGGAGACGAAACGTCGGATTTAAAATTTGAAACTAGCATCTTGTAGAGAGAAAAAAGTGGCCATAATAAAGTGTTATTTATTTCGAAATATCTTTTTAAACAACTTCAGTAAAAATAAAAACGATTTTGCAAAATTTCGGTGTTTTCCGGATATCTCCGAAAGTAGTCGGAATTTTTTAAAGTTTCAAAACTGCATTTTGTCAAACATCAAAATACGCAACTTTGTCAAATTTAAACTACCTACCTATCTCTTACAGTTCCCGAGATCCCCATGGTGGCCCTCGAATTTGAATCAGCCTGTACATATGTTTATTAATGGATCACTATGGAGGTGCTCGTATGCACAGATCATAATGGCTAACATCTCTGCTGGAAACACAGTGCTATGCCACCCAATGGAGAAGCTGATGTAAGTTCCCTGTCGATCACCATATATATCCATGTCCGTTCCTCTTTCCGTTAGGGACCCGTCTGTAAACGACACGAGCCCCTCACATTTGAGGAATGGGAAAGTGACGTTATATCTCTTCAGTCTTAGTAAGACATCCCTCCTTGCGAGGAGGGGTCGGATCTGAGCTTTCTTTCTAGATCTCTCCGTGCCCAGGATTGCCTCGAGCATTCCACTTTATACCTGCGTTGAGCGATCTTGAGATCTTCCCAGTCCGCAGGCACCATTAGGTCACATGGCCCTATGAAAGAGCATGCGGACCCCTTTAAGAGCCCTTTCAAGGTCTGAGTTCCATAAAGGTGTTCTCTTCGTTCCTTGAAAGGTCAGCAGTTTGAATCTGTCGTCATATGGCGTCGCTTTTAATAATGCGACCGCCTCTTCCACCGACAGAGCAAAGGTGGTCCATCCGACCGCTCTGACAGTTTCGTCACATAGCAGTCCAGTCAGTGGATTGAGGATTCCGAAACCTACAGATCCCGCAATGAGATGTCAGGTTTCGAGTCCGTGCTGCCTCACGCAACATGGTGTACGTTTGCATCACATTCAACCGCAAGATGGAGCCCTGTCAACTCGACAGTCACCTCCCTGATAGGTGGAGCCTCTTCCGAGACGTACAGGAGATAAGACTCTATTCGTCTATCGACATAAATGCTAGTCTTATGGTTCAGTTTGCTGTCCCTCTTATAAGAAAGAGAGTCCTCCACCTGACCCAGACATCTTACGCGTCCCATGTAAACCCAATAGGGTTGTTAAGTTGTTAAGCCTCTGAAACAGGTCGCCCCCTTTACTGTGCCGCAAATTGCTCTGTAAGAAAGTTACTCCGTCAATCACTGATGTAGGTACTAGGTTGCCCTCTCCCCTAGTGACGCCGACGGTTCTGACGCGAAGAACCACCACACAAGAAATCAGATTTGTCCTAAATGAACATCTTGTGCTGTCAGCAAGAAAGCAGGTCGTTTTGTGGACGGTACGGGTTTGTTTCTCGCAGAGCGCTATCATGATTCAGTGAACTACGTCATTTGCAGTTTCGTAGTGGGCCTCTAAAATATCAGGCAATATTATTATTATCATATCTTCTTGGGCTTTTTGTAAGGCGTCTCAGAGCTTGGTAATATCATCTTTTATATACTTCCAATAGCTGGTTCCCACATAAATTCGCACCGGTAATTCACTCCTGGTAAATTCACCTGCGCAGAATGTACCCCCAAACAACGAAAAAAGTAGATAATTAAAAAATCGTTCATTTATCGTCTCATACACCCAAGTTGTTCCAAACTTCGAGTAGAATTAAAAAATTATTGCGTCGCATTTAAACTGAACTAAATTAGCTGAAACCGTTTTATTGAATAAACCATATATACATTTTTTTAAAACCTTGCGCATTAGTTTTCCATATAATAATCGACGCATCAGCGTCGGTCGACACTCTGCATGGTCGAAAAAATGACTACACTTCATTCCACCCCAAGAAATAATACCAAATGTATCACTATAAACTACGATACAAATTAGAGTTTTCTATAATAACTATAAAACTATAAAATATCAACAGGGAGGATTAAGATGAAAGAAACACGATGTTTACCGAAATTTATATGGTTTTTAATCATGTTTGGCGAATCTCAAATTCTGCGAATGTACATGCTTAAAAGTGTAATTAAAGTAGCCCAACTTCCGGTAAAGGTATTGGAAGTTTTAGAGAGATTAGCATGCTGAAAGGTCCTCCCTTACACCCATTCATATAAACACCTGAATTGCAAATCTATGCTTGTTTACATACTATGTTACATATATTTTTCAAAATGTCAGTTTTTAGCACTCGCACATTTGTCTAATTGAATTATGTTACATGACCCTGTTATAAGTGCATTTTAAAATATAAACCTGTCAGCTGTCATGTAGCTTTATGCTTGAACACAATTTAAGCATCTTTTAAACGAATCCTTGGCGTCGGTTTCCCAAATATCAGTTACAAACGGAAGATTTTTAATGATTCCTCTATTATGTTTACAGTATGTGTCTGTTTCCACATCGTTTCCCAATTTAAATATCCAATTTCATACCAGACAAATTAGACGTAAAAATAAAGCACCTTTTGATTAACGCACAAAATATTAATTACTGGTACAAAATTTAATTAGATTTTTTTATAGAGCTACAAATACAATATCAGTCTTTTAAATTACATTTTAAAGGATGTTTGTACGTGATAGATTAATCCTGAATTGATAAGAACGGTAGGGGTTGTTATTGGTACGACCTCCTGGTGATGTAGCTGTGTGATGAACGGTATAAAAGCAATTGCAAAAGAGAAGGTACGTCAGAAATCATGGGACAGTTCTGCTTAAAGTGTTGCGTGCTTTTAACCTTTTTAGTTGTAGTAACTATAGCAAATCAGTATAATGGGGTAAGTAATTAGGTTTTTAGATTTCTCTGTGCGGCGGCAAAAAGCCGGAAAATGTTTAGAACCATCATATATTAATGGCTGTCCAGTTGTACTCTAATAAAAAACCTACTGTGTTGCTTTCATCTAACGCTCAGCGTCAGAAGAGGAATTCTCAATATGAAGACAATTACAGAATCCCTGCGCCCCTAGACAAAGAACAACTCGAAGCTTTGATCGAAGCCGTTGAAGAGCCTCCATGGACGGTTTTAACTTTTAATGGTAAGGTTACACAGTCGACTGTTTATTTACTAACACCCACCATATTTTTAGAAGGAAAAAGGCATACTGTTAATTTCACACCGCGTCTTGGTAGAGAATCCGGTGAAGAAGAGGCAGAGAATTGGTTTCGAGATGCAGAGTTAAGTAGAGAACTGATGACACAGCGATCACCACCATTTGCTCCTCGTTTGGGTAGACGGACACATTCATTTTATTTTGATTCTCGGTTAGGAAAAAGGAATGAACAGCAAAAAATGTTGTAATTGCATTAGTATGCGTTATTACAATATATCATTACTAATCCAGCAAGTTATCCTAAATAATTTGTTTGTGAGCTGCTGAAATCTCGCAATAAATTCCGTATGTAAATATATCTTGATTGAAGGTTACCTATATCTCTATTATATAAATGGCAATTTTTGTCGGTCTGTCTTTTCTTTGTCTAATGTTGGCCATCTCAAGCCAAATTTGACATTTGATTTAAGTGGGTCAAGGAAAAATTGATCATTTATAACAAATCCGTTAGTAAACCTCGGGGATAAACATTGAAATATAAAATGGACCTTGCATTACAGACATTGAAATTCGTCAAGTATAGGTGAGTAGAGCTGAAGCTAAAAAAATTATCAAAGTCCTCGTTTGAGATCGAAGGGACTTCAGCGCATTTTTGTGTGGCAGATCAGTATTCTATTAGCCACTTTCGATTCAACCGTCAATAACAGATCTTGTCGAAGGCTACTACATTCACTAACCGCTTCCCACTTTCCTCGTGCACCCGCAATTCGCTTTTAAAGATTTGACTCCACCATCAGGAAGATCGTGTCGGGGCTACCACATTCCCTTTGACGGTACCCACTTCCGACGTTCGGTTCACCCGCAATTCGCGTTTGAAGATTTGACTCCACCATCAGGAAGATCGTGTCGGGGGCTACCACATTTCCTTTGACGGTACTCCCTTTCGACGTCCCGTTCACCCGCAATTCGCGTTTGAAGATTTGACTTCACCATCAGTGAGATCGTGTCGCGGGCTACCACATTCTCTTTTACGGTACCCACTTCCGACGTCCCGTTCACTCGCAATTCACTTCTATTGGCGACACGAGAAAGAGAGACAGCGATTTGAGATTCACGAAACGTTAAACCGCGTGAGTTCGCAACGGAAGGTAAAAGGCGCCTGACTACTTCTCGAAGACGCGCGCGCCGCCTCGCAAAAGGTCGTTAATTTCGCCCCTATGACAAAAAACAAAATCCCGCCACGCAGGAGTTGTGCGCGTTTACAACATCTTTCCGACGACACCAATTTCAAAAGAATCGGACCAAAACTGTAGTAGAAGATAGGAAAAAACCGAAAAACCTTCACGTTAGTATACTACGCTCGAGGATGACGCCCAGATGTCGCCAACCCCACATCATGTAGCCATGTCCCTAAGGTTGACAAATTTCACGGCCCTGTAGATATACGTACACCCGTTGCCTTTCTACAAGAGTTCTTCTACGCGCCCACATTTGCTGCCAGCCAGCCAGCCAGCCAGCCAGCCAAAGTGAGATTAAAAGCTACTTTTTACAAAAAAAAATTTTTGCAAAAATGCGCTAAAAACCTGACGACGATTTTAAAATAAAGCTAGTGTCAGCCTTGTCTCAAAAATCGATAGAAATACGACTACCAGATCGACAGAGAACCGACGATTGTTGTTAGATTTTGGCGTATAGACGGTATAGAATCTGTAAGAATTAAATTTTTCCAAAAACTACAATAAGTAAACCTTATAAGTAGGTGCAACCAAAAAACGATTCGTAATGATTTTTAATAATACAAAAGATATCAATCGAAAAGAGTTTGAAGCCCAATTTTTAGCGCATTTTTGCAAAAAATTTTTTTTGTAAAAAGTAGCTTTTAATCTCACTTTGGCTGGCTGGCTGGCTGGCTGGCTGGCTGGCAGCAAATGTGGGCGCGTAGAAGAACTCTTGTAGAAAGGCAACGGGTGTACGTGTATCTACAGGGCCGTGAAATTTGTCACCCTTAGGGACATGGCTACATGATGTGGGGTTGGCGACATCTGGGCGTCATCCTCGAGCGTAGTATACTAACGTGAAGGTTTTTCAGTTTTTTTCCTATCTTCTACTACAGTTTTGGTCCGATTCTTTTGAAATTGGTGTCGTCGGAAAGATGTTGTAAACGCGCACAACTCCTGCGTGGCGGAATTTTGTTTTTTGTCATCGGGGCGAAATTAACGACCTTTTGCGAGGCGGCGCGCGCGTCTTCGAGAAGTAGTCAGGCGCCTTTTACCTTCCGTTGCGAACTCACGCGGTTTAAAATTTCGTGAATCTCGAATCGCTGTCTCTCTTTCTCGTGTCGCCAATAGAAGTGAATTGCGAGTGAACGGGACGTCGGAAGTGGGTACCGTAAAAGAGAATGTGGTAGACCGCGAC